GGCAAATCTCTTCCGTGATGCGTTCAATAACATTAACTTATTTAAATGAGCTATGAGCACATTGGCATCATCCACCATTTTGAATGGTTAATTTGCGATTATAAGGTCAAAGAACTCTTTCCCAGGTCAAAGCATTGCAGATATTCCCCAGCATCAAGTGTTTAATATGCATTTGGAATCATTCGCTTACAATGAAACTAAGTTGCATTTCATAACAATTCAACGAATTTATTCTTTTATACGTTAATATAATCACTACTGAGTAATAATCAAAAATTGGACGAGCAAAATAATTAATTAAATCACGCAACAAGCAGGAAGGACAATGCATTGTTGCCTCAGCAAGTTGCTTAACGCGGCACCCTGACATACCTGAAGAAGATAATGTATTTTAAATATAAGGACACACAATTTTAAATGAAATATATATGAGGGTGATTGTTATTTGTATCATCAAGCTAGTTGGCATGTCACAGTCCAATACACGCAGAATTCAATGGGCAGTGAGGAAAAGGGCGATTTTTGCCCTTTTGAGAATTTTTTAAGGGCATGTGTAGTAGGCGGGCAATCGCGCATCCTTGAGTAAACACTGTCTCATCCAGGATTTTTGGTAGCCCAGTTGGGCTACCGAATTTGAAAAGTGGTAGCCCCAAGAAAGAAACTGGTAGTCTGTGGACGCGGGGCTACCACTAATTTCGAGCCCTGATAAAATTATCAATTGATACATAAATATTATTAATTTTTATGTTTCTAAGCATGAATTATTTTTTTTAAGTGAAAAAATGTGTTTTAAACTCAGTCTACGGCAACTTTATTTTTGTGTATTTTAAAACGAGGCTCCTCATTAGCTTCTCATTTGCATACAGAAATTCCCCTTGTGACGTCAGAAGGGGAAGTCGCATGGCAGCTTGCATTGCCGATACGTGTAAATAAGGCAAATTTCTTGTGCAGTTTTCTCGTCTTTGACTATATTGTCACTTATGTACTTGTTCGTCAAGGAAGAATGGACCATAATGAACACATAGTATAAATTTTTGTTGCATGGGGTTGAGTTAGATGCGAAATATGTCCGTTCTGGTGTAGCTGGTCACCGTGATTGTCACCGACACCGGCTTACGTTTGTACACTGTTGCTGGACAAAATAGAATTTGACGTCGGAATTATCTCGTTATTTATCAGGTTACTAGGCACGTCACTACACTGTTTTATTTCAGCGATCGTCTGAGTAAAACTTTCAAAATTAAAATAAAAGAGAACATATTTTGACATTCTAAACATTAGACTATAGTGATCACTATAAAATAATTAAAAAAACGACAAATCACAGTTACTAAATAAATGCAGCCGCGTGGAAATAAAT